ACATGGCCAAGGGCAGCAATGCGAGTACAAAGGGACACTAAGTCACACCTGATCAGCCAATGGGTACAGGGGCAAAACACAAACCCCTGCAGCGTGTGCGAAACTCTGTTCTTCCCTAAGTGCCTCTCTCTAATACACCACACCAAAAGCAGCAAGGATGTATGGCCTCTCGCTTGGCACTACTTTTCTACAAGGACCAAAAGAAGATGCATTGGTGTGAGTCCCAGTTTTTGAAGCATGCATTATCCCACCATTGTCTGGTTGCAAATGAGGACCAATACTGTAAAAGTGTCATCCGTATGAATAGATGAAGGTGTCAAATTTTTCCACACTTTTACCAGAAGTCTACAGAGCTTCCTTGTATGCTGCCCTTCTCCTCTCCCACTTACAGCTGTATGACTGCATTCCCGAGGCAGAAAGGCGCCTCTGCCTGGAGTGCTGTGCAGCACTCAGAGCAGTGCTGGCATTAAACATCACAGCCCCTGCAGAACTAACTCAAACTGCCCTCATGGAATGCCTGTATTTGGAAACCACCTGAGCACTTTAACTGCTTTAAAACTACTAGTTTTGTTGTTTGCAGGAAAAAAAACAACTATTCTCATAGCATCCGTATTATTTTTTTGTCTCAAAGTTCTGCTGGACCTGCTCAGCAACATAAAGCTGTCCGTGCGTTAAGTAAAGCTTTTCAACCAACAGAAACCAGGAGGAAAAGTTCAAACATCTCAAGCAAATCACAAACTGAAAGCAATTAGCCCTCTCTGTCCTTGACCAGGTTTTTATTGGCAAATATGTCCCAGTATGGCAAATGTTCGCTGTACCATTAAAAAAATAAAAAGAAACCCAAGCACATAAAAGTTAAAAGTGGCAATGGGTTTCACAAATCTGTTCAGCGTAAGCACCGTACTTCTGGAATGAAATCACACTCTGATCACAAAGCACTCTACACACGCTGAGAAAACATTAAAAGCTTCGTCTTTGCTTCAAATATGAGGCTGAACTGCCTAAAAACAAACTGCTGGAAATAATACTTGAAAAATTCTTTTCACTGAATATGTGTACACAGCTCTGCATGTGGATCGATAGGCAACAGACATTCCCACTTACCAACACAAGAGCTACACAAGGCAGTTGGCCTGTCTTTCCAGAAATCCTTTTTATCACAAATAAATCACACATGCACACAGGGAAAAAATGCTTCAGATAACATTGCTGTGAGCACGTGTTTATTACTCTGTCTTCCATCCCCCACTTCTGCGGTTTGGTATTTAATTACAGGGTGGAGTGGTCCCCAGGCTACTTATGTTTCTTCAAGCCCCAGCCAGCAAACTTCTGCAGGAACTGACATGCACGAGTGTGCGTGCTGCGAGCCGTAGCTGGTTCCTGGTCAGCAGTGCTACTAACAGAGAGCCACTGCAACTTTCACCCAACAGTTCTTGAAAATACGTTTAAGAGAAACTGTCTGCTTTACAGACCACAGGGGCTTTAACAGGACACAGTCTGGCTATGCACTATTCGTTTTCTCCTCCATTTTCTTTTGCTAATGAGTATTACCACATTTTTATCATCAGGCTGGAAAGAAATGGCAGTTTTTTGACAAACGTGGCCTGAATTTACCATTCAAGGTAAATGTAACCTAGTACACTTGGTTTGACCAACAGGACTTTCAAAGGCATCATCTAACTCGAATCCTACATAATATTGCATAGCTTTAAATGTCACTTCTAAACAATTTTACATTTCTGCAGAAAAAGCTATTTTCACTTAAAAAAAATACTTAAATAGCAAAATATTGTGGATCAAACAGGATCAGTTTATAGTTACGTATTACATCCAGAAGCATTGAGTTCCCCCCCCCCCCAAAAAAAAAGCTTTTCCAATTAATTTTTATGGAAATCAGAAAAGTGCTCACTGGAAAAATAAAACCGTGGGAACAACATATAGACCAATTTAGCTAACAAATGACAGGCACGGTGAAAATGTACCTTATATTAAAAGGATGCTGTTAATCAGAGCAGCACTGTTGATACAATTTGGGAAAAATATGACAGACGCTGCGGGGTTTCATCCACAGCTTTTTTTTTTTTTTAATACAGGACCCACAATTTTTTAGACCCAACAAGAATTCAGCAGCTTTCTATGTCAGAAATGTGGGACAGGTGAAGGTGAAACCATGTGAGTGCATTTTGATATCAGTCAAAGCCAAATGGTAGACAAGAATTGTGTTATGTGATCTAAAGCTGGAGTGTGAACACTTGCTTGCCAAGCCCTAGCAAGAATTTATATAAAATATTTATTCAGGAGCAATCTGCTACAGTGCTTCTATAAGCTTCCCTTCCTCTGTATTGCTCTACTGAGAAAAATGCATGCAAAGTGCAGCAATAATATCTCAGTTAGGTGATAAACCAGATTAACAACGGACTCATAAAACTGGGCCCTTTGAGCACTCCCACACACTGACATGCAGAATGGCAGAAAGAAATGTATTTCCACTCTGCTCTGAAGGTGAGAAGAAGCACAACCCAGATCGTACAAAGGAATTCAAGGACCGGGCTCTCTGGAGATGCCAAAGCCACAAAGAAAAGAAATCGTTACAGAATCATGTAAATGATGTACTTTGTTATTTTTACAAGAAGAAAACATTCTCTGCCTTCCCCCAAGTCCTATCATTGGGCTTGGTATGGCTGAATACACGCAGACATGCAGTCTCATATAAGCTCAAGACATGCCTATTCTGACAGGCAACAAGCGGGCAAACCCATAGCCCAACTCCACTATTTATTCCATTAGAAAACACCTGGAGTACTGCATCCAGATGTGGAGTCCTCAGCACAGGGGAGAGATGGACCTGCTGGAAGATGGCAAGGGGTGGAACACTTTCCCTACCAGGACAGGCTAAGAGCTGGGGCTGTTCAGCCTGGAGAAGGCTCGGGGGAGACCTGAGAGTACCTGCCAGTACCTAAAGGGACTGTAAGAAAGAAGGGGACAGACTCATTAGCAGGACCTGTTGTGTCAAGACAAGGCGAAATGGTTTCAGACTAAAAGAAGGGAGATTTTGACTGGATGTAAGAAAAAAGTTTTTACAATAAGAGTGGTAAGGCACCGGCACAGGTTGCCTGGAGAGGCAGTGGGTGTCCCATCCCTGCAGAAGCTCCAGGTCAGCCTGGATGGGGCTCTGAGAACCTGATGGAGCTGCAGTTGTCCCTGTATTGCAGAGGAGCGGGACCAGATGGCTTTTAGAGTCCCTTCCAGCTAAAACCATTCTATGATTCCAAACATTCTGCAGCCGTGCCTTCGCCAGGTTATCACAGTGCCACTTCACCTACAGCAAATCCGGAACAGAGATACAGAACCCATTGAAATAACGTGCTGCTGCCTTAGCACATATTACAACTGCTGCGTATTCCCAGTCCTATTATGCTACTTCGAACCGAATTCCAAACGTCACGAATAAGACGCTTCAGTCAGACAGACGGTTCTGCTGTCACATTTGTCCAAACTTGTCTCCAAAGCAGGGGAGCCCCGCGCCTACGGACCGCGCTCCGCACGACTCCTCACATCGCCACGGCGAGCTCAGATCGCGTTCGGATCCCGGGCGGGAAGCGGCAGCGCGAGGGGACGCAAGAGAAGCCGGGAGCCGCACGGGCGGGCAGGGACTCCGCCGCCCACCCCCCGCTCTGCCCCTCCCCGCCGCCGCCCCGGGCCTCTCCGCGTCTCTCCCTCTCCCCCTCTGGCACCTCAGCCCCCGCCGCCCGCGCCCGCCCCGCGAACGGCCCCCGTCCGGCGCCGCGCTCGCTCACTTGAGGAAGTAACGCTGTCCCGTGTGCGTGAGCGCCATCTCCCAGCCTGGCGGCAGCGGCAATTCGTCCGTCACGTCGTAGGAGCGCTGCCGGAGGTGCCCGTGCTGAGGCGCGGCGGCCGAGCCCACGAGCGAGGCGGGCGAGGAGTGCGAGCGGACGTGCTGCGCGGCGGCGGGCCGCGGCGGGGGGCCGCCCGAGTCCGTGCTGGACTGCCGCGAGTGCGAGCCCGAGTCGGGCTCCTTGAAGAAGGACTCGGGCAGGATTTTCTTCCGCCAGGAGCTGGGCCGGGGGTTCATGACCGCGTTGAAGAGCGCCTCGAGCTCCGTGTCCAGGTCCTGAGTGACGTGGATCACCTGCTGCCCCGGCGGCGGGGCCGCGGGCGCGGCGTTCATCTTCCCCCCCGTCAGCCCCGACGGCGAAGCGAGCGGGCGACGGCCGGGGCCGGCCCCGCTGCGCGGAGGGACGCCGGGCGGTCCCGGAGGCGCGCCGCCGTGCCGGAGCGGGCGGCGGTGCGGCACTGCCTCTGCGCCCCCTCACAGCGACGGCCGCGGCCCGGTGGAGGGGCGGGCGGGTCAGCCCACGGGCAGCGCGGCGCCCTCCCCCGGGCCGGGCCGCCCCGGGCCGCGCCGCGGCGATGGGTGCCCCGCCTACCCCGGCGGCCCGGCCTCCGCCCCGCCCCGCCCCGGCCGTGGTTATGCAACGGCCGCGGAAACTTCGGATCTTCCGAACCGCTGCGGGACGGGGCGGTTTTAGTGCGCCTCTGGGGTGCGGGGCCGGTGAGGGCTGTGCTCGCCGGGAACCCTCGCAGCCACCCGAGTCCCGTCAGCGCGACCGCCCGCCCCTCGCTTCTGTCCCGCACGAAGTTTGCGAAGGCCTCAGGGCGCCGGGCGGGGCGTGACGGCCGAGCGCGGGACGGGGCCCGGGCACTGACCTCCCCCCGGGGCCCGCAGGGTTCCGCTGTGCTCCCGCCCGTGGCCGCGGAGCGCTGCCCGCTGCTCGGGAGCTCGGTGCGTTCCTTCTCCTCGTGACACGCGGAGAGGACTTCTGGCAACCCCACAGCTTTGTTTTTAAGCCGTCGTTCAGGAAACTCACGGCAATACTCTGGAAGCAGAACCATTCTTAAAAGAGTGTAGTAGCTTCACAGTGTGATTTAATGATATCTTGGAACAGGGGGCGAGGGGGAGAGGGTGGGGAAGAGTTAATGAGGACGTGTCGTACAGCTGCTTTATGAATACCTGATGATAACCCATGAAAAGATTCATCCCCGTGCCGGCAGGTATGGATTTAATACGGAGCTGTCTCCCGAATCTCCCCAACACACCGTCCGGTGATACTGCAAATACAGCCGTGAGGCTGCTTCCATTCAAACTGCCTCTTTGCACCCCAGTAGTGTATATACCAGAAGCCAAAACTGTGATCAGAATGTATTCCTGAGGCTTTCTGCAATGTAAGTGTCAGTCATGCAATTTTTTTCGGTGAATTTTGCCTTCTATTGTCATTTTATTCTCATAATTTAAAAAAAAAAAAAAAATTTTTTTTTTTTTGGTGTGTGGAGTAACTTTTGAATAATAAGGCAAAAAAAAAATTGCTTCAACTCAATAGCTGCATCCATAAGGAATAATGACAGTAATGTTCCAATGTCAGTGCTCCTTTTTGTAGTAATAAGCATACAGTGCTGTATGACTACACACACAAAGATATCGGGTGTTGACTGTATTAACATGGAACTTTATTTTAGTAATGTGGGTTTTTTTATTATTATTTTTTTTATTTCTGCAGCTTGGAAAGTCTCTAAGCTATTCTGATTTCAGAATCCCCCTCCTCAGTAATCAGAGAGAAAGCTTTCAGGTATGTTTTTGTGTTGTTTTTGTTTTTAACTAATTTCTTGTTTCTTAAGCAGCATTCACTGTTCTGAACTTCACATGGCTTCTCCAGCTGAGAACTTGGACACTATTCCTGATCAATCTTTGTCCTTTGATCAGTGCAGATTCTGAGATTCATGGTTAAATCCTGTACATGAAATCAGGGCTAAGATCAACTCCTAGGACCACGTATTGCTCCTCATTTCCCGATTTCCTTGCTCCAATAAATGTCCTCTTTCACTTATTTATTTTTCCTTAGATTTCCTGTTCACATCTCATCGACAAGCAGATCTTCTCTTTGTATTTTTTTGCCACATGTGCTGTATTTCTGGTCAGGAAATCCAGTACTCCCAAGATTTGTTCACGCTTCCCTTTCCTGACAATTTTCCTGGCTATCTTTTGTACCATTCTTTTGGTGCTTCCTTACTGGTCACTTGCTGGTGTTTTTACTAGCTCGGACAGCAGTGCTAATTGCAGCACCTGCTCCAGAGTTACGCAGATATACCATATGATTTTTCCCCTGCAATTTCCTTTTTTAAACCTTTGCATATTAGATGATTGTCTTTGTATGTGTGCAGTCTATTGTACAGATAATGATCTGAACGTGAGTGCTTTTCCATATAGCCTTTACAAGGGCTTTTACACTTCCTCCAGGCCTCTGTATCCTTGGGTAGAGACACACCCATCTATCTGCCATTACATTCCTTTCCAGATGACATGTCTATGCAAGGCAAGGCTCTGACAACGTCCTTCATGGCGACATCTAAGTTAATTAGACCACTTTCAGAAGACAGGATTGCATTTTGTAAGTACATACCATCTGTTTTAAGCTTAAGCAGTATTTATTACCACTAGAACTTTCTTCTTTAGCAAGGTAGTGTTTACTAGTGTTTCAGCTGTATTTTTTACTCAACATTAAGATTAGCTGCTACCGTATGACTTGGTGGGGACTAAAGCATTTCATCCACTAGTCTGAAAGTGATTAAATATGTAAGTACAAACTATCTTAGCATTGTTGTTATTATTCTTATTTTAGAAACAAGTAACTTCCTTCTTTTGGCACAGATAGGATATGACCACCAGCACTTAAAGGAAATGATTCAATACACTCAGGTCCTTGGGAGACAATGGCATTTTGCTGGGTGTGGGATTAAGTGATAAAGGAACAAAAATGATGTAGAAAGCTTCCTTATCATTACTTCTTTCTTCTAATTACATTATCATGCATTGTAAAAAATAAGAGCATAACATTACTTTATCTCAATTACATGTGCTGTTCAACTGTTTTTGAATTGTACAGACATTTTCTCATACAACTGGAGGGTTTATAACAGTCCAGTACTTTTGGTATACCCTATTTGTAGTACATCTTCTAGCACCAAATTCTATCTGTACTTAAGTGCAAAGCCAAGCATGCAGATGAGAAAAGTAGGTGCACTTCCAAATGTACAATTAGATGAGCACCTAGTGGTTTAAAGAAAAAATGCCATGTTGTCATTTTTAATCTAGATTTCTTTTTTTTTTTTTCTTCTTCCCAAGAAAGCTAGCACTGATGAACATGCACAGATGATGTCTATTAGAAAGATTTCAGGATTCCCTTGAAAAATCTAATGGTTTCTATTAACTGAGTAACAACCAGGGAAAGCATTCACACTTCCTGCCTTCTGCTTTGGTATGTGCTGCAGAAAAGACTTTCAGTGGTCACTGACTTGAATTTGCTCACATATAACTTAACAAAGCTCAGCCATATGTAAAATGAAAGTTTTTATTTCTCCAAAATAAATAATGGAGAACAAGGAATAAAATGTAATAGTAAACACTGTACACATTTTGCTATACAAAGGTACATGTGTTTTAATGCACCTATTTACACTTTCAAAACATCGTGCTATTTGTCATGCTAATTAATAGTTTATATTTGCTTTTGTGAGAATTGCTTATTGTTTAATATCCGTATTTTTACGTTACATTCCTGCTAGTACTTTTAAATTAGCCTATTTTTCAAGGGACCTCTGAAACTAAGGTAGGCTTATCTAAATGTATTTTGTTTTTCAACAAAGTGATTAGTGCTTACAATCCTATTTTCATTCACGGACATTTCGCAGCTATTTATTTCTAATGTAGCCAGCAGCTTTTAGACTTTGGCTGGCACCTCAGAATGTATGCAAAGCATATCCTGTGCAGCCGACTTTGATGTTGTTTATTTAATACACAGACCTGCTATATATTACCAAGTTTCACCAGGACAGCTATGTCAGCATGTCTCCCCTCCAGCCAACATCTCCAGGTCAAACCTCAAATGTAGACACAGTCTGCTAACTAAAAAAGAACTTACGTCAGCTCAGTTCATGTCTTGTAAATTGATGTAATGTCAGGAGCAAGAAGGCTTTGTGCGCGTCTACAGATGACTGCACAGACACTCATTTCAGAAACAGCTGCACTAAGCAGAAAAATTGCACCCATGTTTGTGTCTCAAAGGTTGCCCTCCTTACAGCAAAGCCTAGGGAACGGGACACACCAACACTGCTCATTCACACCAGTACAGTCAGTCAAACATTTGAATAGTTTGCAGCAGTGATCTGGAAAAGCCTGCAATGTCTAGATTGTAGGCAGCTAAAGACCTATCAAACCACGCTGGAGATAGAGCTGCGTGTTTCAGCTCTGTTGCTCCATTCCCAAGAAGAGTGTGGAATAAAGTGCACATGCGTACCATCAGTTTGTCTCAGGTGGCTTAAAATGGTAATGAAATTGAGCTTTGCTAGCACAACTCACTTTGTGCTTAAATTAAATAGGAAAAAAAAAGTGGGAATTGTGGTAATTTACATTTATCTTGGAAAAGAAAAAATCAGCAGCAGTATTGAAAACAATATTGAAACCAATTGTGCTGCAATATACCAGACCCTGACCACAAAGCAAACGCGGAGTGACAGCAGACTTCCTTCCCCTTATTTAGATAACTAAGAAAGAACATGGTTTTACCCATGGAGTTTCACCAATCTCTTCCCAATCTTGTACTTCCTTTCCTATACTCTATGCATTGTTACATTACAAAGTCACAGTATAGGAAATAGGTGTTCTCGTATAAACTAGAACCAAAACAGAATCACATTCATACCTTTGGGCTCATACATGTACGTGTTTATCAATAGCAATATACTTAGATCTAATATGTTTGAATATTACGTTCAAAAGATAATTTTAAGGTGAACTCTTAAGAGTTCAAAGCATTTTCTGTTAAATGAGAATCCCAGACCTAATCCAAAATTCGGATACTGGTGTGTGTGTGTAAATCTGAACTGCGTACCTGTTTCAATTAAAAAAACTTTCCCCATAGAATTCAAGAAACATCAAATTAATCAGAAAGCCAGATGAAGGGTGAAAGAATATTCAGTACATTAAAAGCTTGAAGGAATGTGTGACAGGGACAAGCAGAAGTACGAGAAGTAAAACTTGTAAGGGAACCTAAATGTGCCTTAGAGATGGGGAATCAATTAAAACTCGGGTGGGTGTACTTTATAAAATGGATTGCAGTCATACACAGCTCATTCAAAAGGATATAAACAACAGGAGGAAGAAAAGCACGGCTTTGTGAGTGCTTAAAGGAATATAAATGTTTACTCAGCACTTAAAGGAATATAAATGTTTACAACACTGAACAAACCATGTCATCCTGAGTGTAAAGAACTTAATGCTCTTTGCTAAACGTTTTAACAAATCGATTAGCAAGCTCAAAGGAAACAAGACGCCAACCAGTGAATTTGGAAAATGCAAAGTGAAATACAGCGGCGTCTTGAGACCATGAACAATTGTTAATGAAAGACAAATACTGAAAATGATCGTACAGTGAACTCCTCCACAGTGAATTACAAAGTTAAACTTTCTGCCCCCTGCTGTTTAAACCAGGTATTTCCGCACTTCTACAGTCGCACAAGTACAGGTGAAAGCAACGTTCCTGCAAAGCATCGTTCTCCCCACATACAAACCTGCGTGGGAGCACGATACCGAAGGCTGAGTCCGACTCTGCTTTTCAGGAAACTATCTTATGCTTCCAATACTTGGACTTTTAGTTCTTTTATGCACTTAGAAGTCTGCACCAACACGACATTCACCTGAATTTAGCAGCCCATCAAAAAACAAGCAAGGATCCACTTGCCAACTGCTTACATCATAAAGCCAAAAGTTACTAGAAGTACAAAGGAAAGGGAGTTGGGACAAAATTATTATTTTTTAAGAAAAAACATTCAAAATGTTCTGTAGTAAGGTTAATAGGTAATAGCTTCTGTACTTAATAGGCTTCTAAAATGAAATAACAACGTGTTCCACTTTCTCACAGGATACTCAGAATTTAATATTTGTGAATTCCTTCAATGTTAAAACACACCACCATCTGCAAAACAAATCCAGTCAGTCACTTTCTTCAAAGTGATGTAACTTCTTGAGAGGTAATCTGCAATATTTTTTTTGTTATAAATAAAACATCTATTCCAGATTTACAAAAGGCTCTTAAAAAAAAGGCTTCAAATTTAACTTTCTCCTTAGATAATGTAGAAATAAAAGGGGAAAAAAACTATAAAATAAGTAGGGTTAAAAGTAGTAACAGTGAAAGGAGACATAAAAAGCTTCCAGGATGTGTATCTAAAGCTTGTATATTTACTGCCATGAACAAAGACTGTGGCTATACTGAGGAGAGGTGGAATAACAAGAAAATACTGATCTACATATAGACTGGTTTTATATTTATCCTGAAAATACACCAGTTACATCAGAACAAACAAAACCCAAGAAATCAGAAGTTGTAACTTTTGAGCACATCTGATTACATGCTGTATGAGAGGGAAAAAAAATCAACATACGTAGATGGCAATTGAAACACTTTTCTGTGGGGAAGGAAGTCACATTGAAGACATGCTACATCAAACAATTAAACACTTAGAGAATAAGCAACTCCAAATTTGAGAAAACAGACTTTTTTTGTGAAGTGGTAGTTACTTATTGATTGAAGCACTTTTGCCATGCAAGTAGTATTTTTCCTAAGTTCTAAACAGAGAGAAAATGATGCATTTGTAAATTAGTACAGAAATGTACAGTGTCACTGCAAAAGTCACTGCCAGAATCTGAATGTGAAGGTTCTCATCTGTTTATTCTCTCCAATAGAATTTAAGGCATTTATTATGTGCTCTCACTAGTGACAGTGAAACACTAACTAGTAAAACTACTTACCTTTGTCACAAGAGACATGAAATACTGCACACAAATACAACTGAAAAGTGTCTATTAGCATAACCTTTTGAGGACAACCTTCTTAAATACAGAAAGCCTTTATTTACTCTGCAGTACTTAGCTTCTTTTCAGTGATACCCAAATAGGGGGAAAAAAGCCCAACCCAAGCTGCTGTATCACAAGACAAAGATCTGATTTACCACAAGTTAACTGTTTTCTTAACAGGCCTAGTAGCCAATAGTTTTCAACTGTTCAGATCACCTTTACCTGTAGAAATAATCAGCACGCTAACTTACACTTAGGCCACAAGACCTTCTGTAGGAACTGCTATGTGTAGAAATGCCTGCCTAGTAGGGCTTACAGATAGCTTTGTTAAAATTGAAGCCTTCTGTTATGTAAGATGACCTGACATGAGTTATTCTCATGTGCAGGTCTCACCACAAAGCTGGGAACTAAGTTTTCATAACATGCTGCATTGCTGCTTTGTGAAAACATTTCCAGTACAATTAACAATAAGCAGCTGTTGGGAGAAGTGAACAGCAGAAGCTCTGTAGCACCTAGCCTCTGAGTTGGCTGGATCCCTTGGACAGGAAGGCAGTAGTCCCACAGGTACACCTGCACTTCTACACGTACCAGAGTCTGAATGGAAGAAACATTCCTGTAAAGTATCATTCTCACAAGTGTAGGTATTGAGTAGGTTTTTATTTTTATTTCAAAACAGAGGCAGAAACAGAAAAATCTGCTTAATAAACATAAAAATGTGCACAATCTCCTATAATATTGACACAGCTTTACTTATGTAGAATGTAGAAAAGCTCTTAAAGTAGAACCATACTAATTTAGAGCTAAAGGAAGTCTCAGTATGGCATACTGATTTCCTACATACGTAAGTAAAGTAAAAGCAATTACCCATCTTGTGTCAGGCAGGTGTGTAAAGTTAGCACCAGAAAATGTTTAGCCTGTAATTACTGACTCAAGATCCTGGCCAGAAAAGCATTACTTTCAGATTAACATCTGATCCAGATGTTTATTTTTCTTTACATGTGTTAGTGAACACTGAGTGCCTAGCACAAGTCTTGAATGAATTCTATTTCATGTTTCGTGCTATTCTCCTACAATGGTTTGTCTTCATTTCCCCCAGGGCTTGTTCCAATTGCTGAATGAGGTGGAGGAGGGTAGAAGGGTCAGTTTGTAACACCTGGGTAGTTAGATCTTCGTTCTCATTAAGATGTAGCTTTATAGTCACCGCAGGCTTAATTTGCTGCCTCAGACTTCTGCTTGCAAGCTGCATGAGGGTTTAAAGGAAATTAAAATAGGGAAACAAGCAACGACAAAGAAGGGAAGACAGTTGGGAACTTTTACAGCTCCCACATCAATAGTTCACAACAGGTTTGCAGGACCTGCTTGCAGGCCTGTTTAAAGAAATAAACACATCATCTTCATTGACATTAAACAGAGTCTATTAATAATTTTTATCATTAGGCAATACCCATCCATTTTAATTAATGCATTCAAAAGATTTATGAAAATTAGCTGAAAATAAAGACCTGGATTTATTTAGTATGTGCTAACTTTATAAAGCGCTGATAGAGCTATGAATTCATTTTTCATAAAGGAACAAATACTTTGCATATCCTGTTCACCTTGCAACTAGTTCAGTACAATAACAAAACTATGTCCATTTGAAATATATAAAAATGCTGCAATTTGTATTACTCTGAAATAATATAAACTCATATCTTTATAATTGCTCGTGTTATTAAAAAATATAATGCAAAATACAGAGTACCAATAAAAAAAAAAGAGATTACCTGCACATCTAGTCTCCACTCAAGGCTATGATAGCTGGGAAGCTTCGGTGCCAGCTCACCAAGAATGCTTCTGATCTCCTTCCTGTTATCAAGGTAAAGCTGAAGTAGTAATTTGTTCAATTCATCTGAGAATCCCAAAACATGAATGGAATCTTGGAAGTCCATTTCAGAAATCTGGAAATTAACAATTTAGGCCTTACTACAGAGCTATGCAATAATCATTATTACTTTCTCAACAACAGAACTGTGCGTAAGCACTATACATATTGTGCAGTGCAGTTACTTTACTGCAGGGATACAGAGATGAGTCTACAGCTCGAAGAAAACAGATAGCACATTTTTAAGTATTTGAGAGCAAAATACAACAGCAAAAAAAGCATCTGAAGTTTGCAATAATTAAGTACATTTCTAGACAATCAACATAGCAACAGTATGTAGTATTGATACTGAAGTTACAAATACTCTGAAATGGACTGAATATCTTGTACACATAAGAAGGTACCAGGTGCAACTTCAAAGCCGCATATCAACACAAAATAGCCCTTCGAAGTCGATCTTCTCAAGTCAATGACTGTGCTGAGCTGGAAGAGCTCAGTTCATCACTGCTGAAATAGCAATTTAATTTACAGAGTCATGCATTACAATGCATACATACAGTAAGAATTCTGTGATTAAATATGCTTTGCCATAACAGCACTGCAATTTATCTGTCAGTCAAGGTACTTTACTTCAAGGCAACATGCTACACTAATTCATTTTCCTCTCTACCTGCTCTTTAGAACGTCTGCTTAGCTTAGAATTATTTGCCTATGGATTACTTTTCTCTGTCTCTAGTGTACAAACAGTCTGCCACACCAATAAGAAGTCTATCTAATGGAGTTATCATCCAGCTATAATTCTCTTACTATCTGCTCGCGCTCACCCTGAATTTCTGATGTCAGCATTTGAAAAAGCTCTCGGGCAACGCAAGGGGAATACTTACTCTGGGTTAGCACAACGTGCAGAAAAAGCAGCTCTGCTGAAGTTGTGTTATTTGGACAGAGCTTAATCCTGAAGCACCCTTGCTTATACAGGCTGAAGTGTTGGGTGTTTTTGTGATGTGCTATCAGTGTTATGCTTTGGTATCAGGGATGCTGCATACAAATCCTAAGCCTATCCACACTGAAGCGGTGTTTTAATAAGAATACAGCAAAATACACCTCTTTCATTTAAATAAACAAAAATCCATCTCATCAAAACTTTGACTTTTCCTTTTTCATCAGTGTTTTTATAACTCCTATTGCTCAGCAGACATCCCTGAATTCACCACGTAAGGTGTTCTCACCATGAGCTTGGAGCTTTCTGTAAGAAGGTACATCAGTCCCTCTACCCCATGCTGCACGGTATCAACATCAGCGTTGAGTTTTCCTTTAAAGAAAGCAGAATTCCTTTTAGGTCCTTGCAAAGCTGCCAACCGTAACACACACAGCTGCGTATTTATTCAAAGCTGGAGGAGTACGCATAGAAAAAAAGTGAAGATCGAACGCCTCGCAAACAGTAACGAGAGCAACCCAAAGGCGAGCTGAAGGCGCCTAAGAATTAAAACACAAACCCCAATGCAAACGAAACCGGTTACAGCACAGCGCCTGGGTCACAGCACGCTCCGCAGCGCGGTCTGCGAGAGCAGCCCAACGAGGGCTCCATGATCCGGACGCCACCCGTCACCCTCCGCGTGTCCCGCAGCCGCGGTAACGGCGCGGTAATGGCGCGGCAGTGCCCCGCCCCGCCCCGCCCCTTACTGGCAGCCGCTTCACAGGCTTTGGGTGCCGCGCCGCGCCGCAGCAGCTCCACCGCCAGGTGCCCCAGCTCTCCGACAGCTGAAACGAGAGGAAGCGACTTCGCTGTAAGGTCGGGTAGGCCCGGCCACCAACTGCCGCTGCCATTCCCGTCCCGCCCGCCGCCGCGCGGCCCGCGGACGAGAGCCGGCGGACTCAGTAGAAGCCCCGCCGCCGAACCTGCGCCGCCCACCCGGGACAGGCAGCCCAGGTGCGCCTTCTGCTCCTCCGACAGCACCAACAGCATCGCCGCTCCCGGGGACAGGAAGGGGCGGGGGGGGAGGCGGGCGGGCCGGAAGGGCGCGGCGTCCCGCCCACGGCTCAGGGCCCGCCCAGCCGCCCCGCCCAGCCGCGTCACGCGCCCGCACCTGAGCGACGTCCAGCTGGAGCAATGGGATGCCGCGGGCAGGCGAGGCCCTTGGGGGCGGGACTTCCGCCGCAGCCCTTGGGGGCGGGACTTCCGCCGCGGCCGCTGGGCGGAGGTGAGCGCGCCATGGAGGCGGCCTAAGTGCGGTTCTCGGCTTCTGGCGCCGGGCCTTGTGCCGGCCCCACAGGTGAGGGGTTGTAGGCTGCAGGGGCGGCTGCCGCGTTCCCCGGCTCCTACCCGCCGCGCGGCGCCCCGGCTTTGCGGCTGTTCGTGGGCGCTGAGCCCGCCGCTCGTTGCGCAGCGCCTATTCGCTTCCGCCCCGGCCGCCCCGCCTCGCGGTATCGTTGCGGCTCCGGGCGGCGCCTCGCGGTCGGCCGGCGGAGGGAGGCCGGACGGGGCACGAGCCCTCTGCGGGTCGCTGCCGGGCTGGGCGCGGGGCCGTATCGTAGCTCCTCGCGGCCCGGCGCTGGGGTGAGGCGGTGGGGAGGGGCGCTGACCGCAGGAGAGCGGCGGCGGGGAGGAGCGGTGCTGCGGCGGCCGGAGCTGAGCGCGAAGGGCTGTCTGTGCGAGGCGGGTTTGGGTCCTGTCAGCCTCGGGTCGGGGAGGTGGAGGTTGATGATGATGGGCTGCCGTTGGGTTGTAGAAAGCCGCGGCGTAGGGGTATCCGAGATACATGAGAGCTGTGATGGCGTTTGTGCAACTGTGTGCTGCGCTGCTGGGTTGTGGAAGCCTCGGACAGAGCAGTCTGCTGAAAACGCGGAAGACGCCGTCGCTGTGTTTGTGGCGGGGCGGACTCTGATGCGTTTTCTCTGAGCGTTGTAATCCTGTGCAGCACGGAGATGGAATTTCAGGCTATTAAATGTAGATCTGTTTTTTTTTCTGCTAAATGGTTAAAACAAGTATTTTCTTAAGAACTGAGACGTGATCATAAACGTATAGGCAGGGAATTGCGCTTTGCTGCCTTTTACTGTGAAGGAAACTGGACTGAAAAATGTGTTTCTGAACATTTATGTTTACGCGTGCTTAGAGCATCTCTGTTTGAGAATAGCCAGCAGGAGCTCCGGGTGCTCTGTCAGCTCAGCGTCCAGCACCAAATCATTTCTTGATGTTCCCACAGCTTGTTGGTGCTGGCAGGTGTGACGCGGTGCTTTTGACAGAGTGCAGGGACTGCAGCTACAAGAGCATTTTTCCCTCAGGTTACACATTCTGATCTGGGAATCAGCTTGCTGGTGTTTAAAGATGGTATTTGTAACACAGTGAGATCCTCATTAAAATGAGAAGCAATACTGCGCTCTCTGCTTCCATAAAAAGTTTAATTAGAAATATATTATCCATTGTGAAGTCAAAAATACTGCTTCTGCCTTATTTTATGGGAAATGCCTTGGCTGATGTATTTGAAGTTCATGTAGGAGCTTCATGGCCACTGTGGTGCCCTCAGCACATTGCCTCCCCAC